TGAGGCAGGAGAATGGTATGAACCCGGGAGGAGGAGCCAGTGAGCCGAGATCGCACCACTGCACTCCAGCCTGGGCGACAGAGCAAGACTCCTAAAAAAAAAAAAAAAAAAAAAAAAAAAAATTGGTCTAGGTTTCTAGAATAGAAAGTCACTAATGGTTTACGTTCCTTTCACGACTCACTAATAGTTTACGTTGTTAAAGGTAAGCTGGACGAGGTAACAAAAGTATGTATAATTCTTAGATCTTATTTTCCAGCCGACAGTTCTCCCAGAATTGAGTTTATTCAAAATGTGAAAGCATAAGACTAGAGATCGGGTCTTCTGCCAGACAAAACTTGACCCCTGTTCTGAGACTTAGTGTTTTTTTCATCTCGTTAGTGAGAATAACAACGGAAAACAGTAAAGTGCTACTCAAGTGTTCTTGGTTATTGTATGTGTTATTAGTTTCTTTTTTTTTTCTTTCTTTTTTTTTTTTTTTTTTTGAGATGAGTCTCACTCTGTCGTCCAGGCTGGAGTGCAGTGACGCCATCTCGGCTCACTGCAAGCTCCGCCTCCCGGGTTCACGCCATTCTCCTGCCTCAGCCTCCTGAGTAGCTGGGACCACAGGCGCCCGCCACCACGCCTGGCTAATTTTTTGTATTTTTCAGTAGAGACGGGGTTTCACTCTGTTAGCCAGGATGGTCTCGATCTCCTGACCTTGTGATCCGCCTGCCTTGGCCTCCCAAAGTGCTCGGATTACAGGCGTGAGCCACCGCGCCCGGCCTATGTTATTAGTTTCTATACCCAGAACAGGTTTGTTCGACCTCCAAGTTTGAAAGTATTTTTAAACAAGTTATTTGAAATGGTTTCTCACAGAAAAGGGAATTAAACGTTTCTTATATAAGTATTTGAACTGAAAGACACTCTGTATTACTATGAATATTTATTTTGGGCAGGGGATTGTCTAAGTCCCCTATCATAGGTTACAAATTATAAACGTACTAGACTGTCGTCTTGAGATACTTAGATCGGTTCAATAGATAAGAATTGGGCATGAACAGCTAGTTTTATTGCTGGTACCACTTTTGAGGGAACCATGGTTCTTTACGGAGAAAGCTCTTGACTACAAATGAAATAGGACTAAACTGTTACTAGCTGCAGTGGGGCAGAGGAAAAACTGAAAGGAGCAAACATGAAATAGAATATGCATCAAAGAGTAGATAGACGTTGTTTGCCTCACTATGCCTTAGGTTTAGTTGATAACCACCAAACATATTAACTCTAGGCTACAGCAGCATTTGATCTTTATCCTGGTATGAAACATCTCTAAAGATCTCCCATTATTTTAGAGATATATTCCAATTCTGACAAACTCTCAAAGTTGGTATAAATTGTTAAAATACTATACCTTTTTTTGGAAGTGGAAGAAGACTGTTCCCTCCTGTAATTCTGAAAGGTTATGAAAAGTTCTTCCTAGGACTTATTTCTAAATAAAATCTTAGTTTCCCACTGTCTTTTAAATTTGAGATGTATGCTCACAGAAAACAAAAACAAAAACCCCAGAAAACACTGGACTTTAAAATTACTTAGGACAGTCACTTCAGGTGATACCCGCCTTTGTGTTAATCTGTGAATTCAGTTCTGCTTTGTGATTCTTGAAAGTTAAACAGCCAGTCCTCAGGACTTATATATTCATTTTAAAGGCAATCTTATATAGAAGTGTATCACACTGAAAATTACCATTTCCTTGGAGATTCATTCTGAATGTTTAAATTTCTGCAGTAACTTTAATCTTAGTCTAGATTTAGAGAGGCATTCCCTGGCTAGCAAAGCCAATACAAGTGGCTTTATCAGATTATTTTCAGGTAATGGACTTAAGGACAATAAAATTATTCCATTAAGGCAAGTAGAATTGACAGTGTATTAATTTATTTTTACAGCATTTATTGAGAACTTTATGCATGGCACTGAATGAGATTCTGTGTAAGGATTCAAAGATGAAAAAGATGAAATCACTGCTCCTAGGGAGTTTATAATTTAGCAGGCAGGCAGAAGACAAGAATATGAATGTTTCTGGTCCAAGATAGTGTTAAATAAGTGCCATGGGAGCTTCTAAACTCCCATGTGTGGTTGAAAGCAGAGAGAAAAAGAGTGCCCCAAGAAAGGCATCATGGAGGATCGTCCCTAAAGAGTTGGTATGGTTATGATAGTATGGCAGTCAAGGGAAGCATTCAAAATGAGGGAACAAACCAAGCAAAGGTTGAAAAGTGTGGCAGTCACCTAATGGTTTTCATCAACAGCACTTTGCACATTTGTCTGTTATTAGCACTTAGCCCATGATGTTATAATAATATGCTTAAATGTATATCTCTACAACTATTCATTAATTCAACGTCTATTTCTATTGTCATATGCTGTGCACTGTCCTAGGTGCTAGAGATATAGCAGTGACCAAAACAGAGATTCCTGCCCTTATGTAGCTTATATTCTAGTGGGGGGAAGACAGACAATATACATAAACACAATTAAGTAAATTATATAATATGTTCAAAGAGTACAGAGCAGGAAGTAAACTAAATTAGGGTAAGGGAATGGAGAATGTTAGTGGGTCAGATTTTAAATTGCTTAATCAGAACAGTCTCACCACAAAGGTAGCATCTGAACAAAGACTTAAAGGAAATGAAGGAACAAGCTATAGGAATATGAAAAGGAAGAACATTCTAGACTAAGAGAAGAGCAAGAACAAAGGCCATAAAGCAAGAGAATGCCATGTTGAGAATTACCTGTAAAAAGACAAGGATGAAATTAAGGAGGCCAGTTAGGAGATTGTTGTTATAAGGGAGAAATGCAGGTGACTTAGATTGGTCACCTGCAGGTTATAATAAATTGTCTGATTCTGTTTATATTCTGGAACAGCATAACTGCTGAGCAGTTGGATGTGGAGTTTGGAAGAAAATAATGAGTCAGTGTGGGTGACTGCAAAGTTCTGGGCCTCAACAACTTGAAGTATGTATGGAGTGGTCATTAACTGGGAGAGTGAAAAATTATGAGTAGGGCTGGTTTGGGCGAGGGAAAGAGACTTGGAGATCACAGAGTGATCTAGAAGAAGGCAAGGAAAATGTTTTGTGTATTCCTCTTTACATCTCTGCCAGCATTATAATTAGCCCATAATTGGCACTAAAAATTATTGAATAAATCAAATAATATATAAGCTAATCTGTACCCTTCCATAGATCAAAGCAGTTTAAGGATAAGTTTTCACAATTTGAGTTACAAACCTTTACCAAAGTCCTTGAAAACAGTGTATACAGGAATACATATTAGTTCAAGTAAAAATTTCTCCAGTTCTACCCTCAAATACAGGACTATTTCAGATTCTTGAGTAAAGGTGGATTGCGTAACAACTTTCTCAAGCCATGGCTCCTCCTTGCTTTTTATGGTCCCTGGTGTCCATAGTTTGAAGTTCTACCCTGAAGCGCTATCCTGAAATACATTTGCCCTCTGTTCTGCCTTCATAGTGACACAACTTTAAGTTCATGGTTCTTTTACTATCCTTGTGGAATGCCATCTTTTTTATCGTCTCTGCTAAAGTTCACTTCTGCGAAGAGACTTTCCTTTAATAGGACTACATTACTGCATTGTCCCCTCTTTGCTCAGCTGGTAGCCATTCCCTTTTACTTAGAACTCTTCTGTTGTCACTTTTGACTAATACCACTGCTTATGGCAGGCAGTCAATGTTCTTTTCCCAAGGTTCTGGATATACCTACTGCTCAGTTGGCAGAGCCCACCCTTATGCCAAAGACTCTGGTGGCCCCATTACTCAGCTGGTTAGTTGTTACCACTGGGCAGTCCTCATGACCTTTGCTGATATAACTTTCTGCTGAACTTTTGTTCTCTGCTAAGCCTCCTGTTTTCTTCTGAAGTAGCGTGTGCCATGGCTAAATCTCTTTGACTTGTTTGCACAGGGATAAGGCTTGTCTCAGTATTTTGGCTGTAAAAAGCTATCCAGAAAGGATGGCAATAAGCAGTCTTAAGGAAGTATCGTTCTCTCACTGGACTAGGCTCTTACATTGGGTTAGCTAGAATAGACTACAGGAGGTGTGACATTGTAAGTGAACCTGAGGTGAGGCACAGGGCAGACAACTCCAGCAAGGCATGGAATGGATTCTGTTTTGCCTTCCCCTTAACTGAGAGGCAGCTACCTAACCTATGTGGTAAATGCCTTTCCTCCAAGGTTAGGTTCCCTTAGAGCCCTGTTCATTCCCTTTGTGGAATACAGAGAGCCAAATACAAATGGGCTTAGTTACAATATGTTTATACTTCAAAGTTGTCTCTCAGGTCTTTGACAATCCTCTCCCTCACTTAGCCTCATTCATCTTGGAAATAGAAGGAGATTCCTAGATATCATTGAGCATTTTGAGGTAGAATGAATCATAAGACAGCATGTATATCAAATATATTTTCTGTGGCAATACTGAAGCCCAAATAGGTTAAGTGTTCTGCCCAGAGTCTTATATCTCTTTAATGGCAAACCTTAAACTAGACTCAGGCCTCCCAAGTCCAGTACCCTTTTCATTATACTGTTGGTAAGATTGTGACTTCAGGCACTGAATGGCATAATGAAATCACACAGTTTTGCATGGCTTATAGAAGGAGGGCACTCTGAACATTATGAGGTGAGTAATAACTGCCTATATTTTCAGGGACGTAACAAATCCTGGAAAAGCCACACTTACCACTTGTAGATTTCCATGGTTATATTTCTCCATACATTCTGCCATTTAAATGTTGTTTTTCTTCTCTCTTCTCAAAGATCTTCAGTTTAGATCTTGGAGGCATATCAACTGTGGTTCTAAATGGCTATGATGTAGTAAAGGAATGTCTTGTTCATCAAAGTGGAATTTTTGCAGACAGACCATGCCTTCCTTTATTCATGAAGATGACAAAAATGGGAGGTATGTTTATTTGCACCTATTTAGTGATTTACTAAGCTATTTTAAATCACATTTCTTATTTTAAGTTTTAGTGCATAGAGTTGGGATTATTTTGTACTGATTAATAAGAAACTATTTACTTATAGAACCTGGTATCTGAGGACCTTTCAGGCTGTACTACTTTCATATTTTAGACCAGTACATTGCTAATTCTGTTGTGGTTCAGCTCTAATAAGTATTATAAACTTTTAAAGAATCAGCACCTAATAACATCTGCAGATTTTGTGAAACAAGTTAGGAATAAACACATACTTGCACTTGAATCCAAAGTGCCCTTTTGAACCCAGTCTTGAGTACTTGATGACATTTTTACTATCGTTTTACTTAAAAGCTTACAGAACTCGAAGCAGCTTTCTTGACTACTAATCACTGTGATTAGTAGGTATAGAGTTGCATGGCTTGTGTAAAGGACTAGCGTTCTGTATGGTTTAGTATTGATCAGTGTCGGAGATTCCATATTCAACAGGGGGAGAGACTGAAAGTTGACAAAATTGGTAAGAAGAAAGCAGCAACAGACAGCCTAAAATAGAATGTTCAAATCACATACAGTGGTTTTAATAGTTAATAGTATAAGACTTTTTACTAAAGTTGTATCCTAAATTCTCTAATATGAGTTTCACATTTAATTTCAAAGAAAAATTTAACAATATCTTGCTTACATAGGCAAAAACTAAAGACATTGATTGAAAAGACAAAAATAAAACTCCTATATTACATCACAAAGGAAATCAACTAATGCAGAGAAAGCACAAATTGTAAAAGACTGAATTCTCAGGCCAGGGTATAATGATACTTGAAAGCAGTAATATAAAAAAACAAGCAATTAGACCAAATAAGAAGCCACAATTATAATAGACCTTTAAAAAGATGATGAAAATGAAAGATGATGCAATCACAGTAATATTTGAGACAAAGTATATATTTTTCAAAGCTGTAAATTTATTGTTTAGACTATTTTCATCATAAAGCATTTGACTTAAGATTTTTAAAAACCAGGTAGGAAATTATGTGTTGCTTTAAGTTACTATGTACTGACCTTGGAAGTAGAAAATCATGGCCACTATCAGCCCACTGTGTGAATGGAAAAAAGTTGCCCTTTGGGTGGGCCCAGCGTCATGCCCAGGCACACAGCTTGGCCAGTGTAGGGTTATTATAAACAGTGCTCCTCTGTACCTTCTTGTGTATATATCCCATGTGCACATATTTCTCTAGGGCTGGTTTCATCTTGGCACCATTGCACTAGCTGTTCCTTCTAACTACAGTGGTCTTTCCTCAGGTATTTGCTTGTTTCACGTCCTCATCTCCTGTGAGTCTTTACTCAGTGTCATCTTCTCAGTGAGCCTTTTGCTGACTACCCTATATCTTTTTACTTGCTATATAATTTATTTGTTGTTTTGTCTGTCTCTCCTACTAGTGTCTAAGCTCTGTGAGGGTAGGGATCTTTGCTTCTTTTGTTCCCTGATACATTCCTGACACTTAGAACATTGCCTGGAACATAGTAGGTGTTCCACAAATACATGTTAAATGAATATTTGTTGAACGAATAGTCATCTGGGAGTATAGAAAAAAGAATGGACTATGGGAATGTAAGATTGCTACACAGCACTAATGACCCCCTCACATATGGTAACTTTTTAATAAGCTCTACATTCAAAAATTATTGCACAATAAGTTGTTGGAATGTAAATTTTGTGTGTACCTCATGTACACAAGAGAATGTGACATTTTTCATTGTGGGTTGTGTTAGTCCATTTTGTATTGTTATAAAGAAATACCCAAGGCTGGGTAACCTATAAAGAAAAGAGGTTTAATTGGCTCATGGTTCTGTACACTTTATAGAAAGCATGGTGCTGGCATCTGCTTCTGCTGAGGCCATCTGCTTCTCCTGAAGCTCACAATCATGGCAGAAGGCATTGGAGAAAGCCAGCATGTCATATGGCAAGAGTGGGAGCAACAGAGCGAGTAGGGAGAGGTCCTTAACTTTTAAACAACCAGATCTCACATTAAGTGAGCAAGAACTCACTTATCACCAAGAGGCTGTTGTAAGACCATTCATAAGGGATCTGCCCCTATGATCCAATCAGTTCCCACCATGCCCCGCCTCCAACATTGGGAATCACATATCAGTGTTAAATTTATCATAGGTACAACCGTGTCCCAGTAATGAGTGAAATTTTGAGTAAAGTACATGTTACATAAATATGTGCACTGAAGATGTTGAATTAATTTAAGGGGGAAATTTTCCATAGTAGCCACATCAAAACAGCAGATACATTGTGGAGACTCTGAAATTTTAAGGTAGGCAATATCAGCATTAGAAAAGTTTGAGCTTCATGTTTGCCCTTCTTTTGACTTCAGCATTTTGACTATATTGACAGCTCATTCAGAGTTCCCTTACCCCTGTCATAGTTACTTGATTGTCTACCATATCCCTTTAACAGGAGGAAATTTATATTCTAAAATCCATTCTCTTTTAAGCAGAAAATTTCTAATCCTAGAAGGATGATTTTTTAGGTGTTTGTTTAGTCTAAGATAAAATTTTGCCCATTGAACATGCGGTCATTTCTCTTTGGTAAATTAGGCTTATGGTAAAATTTGGATAATATATAGTCACCTGGCCCTATTTCACCAGGTTAAATTACACAAGACTGACTAGCTTCTTGTGGTGGTGCAATTATAGGTCTTTTCTACCAGTCCACAGATAAGGAGTAGAAAACCTTTATCTGTTATAATACTCTGGCTAATGAGTTGCTGAGAACAGGACCCAACCATGTAGTTATATAGGAGTATAATTTGCAGAAGGATGACTAACCATCCATTAAAAAATTTTGTTCCCTTTCATTTTTTAGATACAGAGAGGTAGGAATTATACAATATTTTAATTTTTTTTTCAGGCCTACTCAATTCCAGATATGGCCGAGGATGGGTCGATCACAGACGATTAGCTGTAAACAGCTTTCGATATTTTGGATATGGCCAAAAGTCTTTTGAATCTAAAATCTTGGAAGAAACCAAATTTTTTACTGATGCTATTGAAACTTACAAAGGTAGACCTTTTGACTTTAAACAATTAATAACGAATGCTGTGTCAAACATAACCAATCTGATCATTTTTGGAGAACGATTCACTTATGAAGACACCGATTTTCAGCACATGATTGAGTTATTTAGTGAAAATGTGGAACTAGCTGCCAGTGCCTCGGTCTTCTTGTATAATGCCTTTCCATGGATTGGCATCCTGCCTTTTGGAAAACATCAACAGCTGTTTAGAAATGCATCTGTGGTCTATGATTTTCTCTCCAGACTCATTGAAAAAGCTTCAGTCAACAGAAAGCCTCAGCTACCTCAGCATTTTGTTGATGCTTATTTTGATGAGATGGATCAAGGTAAAAATGACCCATCATCTACTTTCTCCAAAGAAAACCTAATTTTCTCAGTGGGTGAACTCATCATTGCTGGAACTGAAACTACAACCAATGTGCTACGGTGGGCGATTCTTTTCATGGCCCTTTATCCTAATATTCAAGGTGAGGATTCTCTTGATGATCTCAGGGTCTATCCTTACATGTAGGGTTCATACATGTTTTTGAGTCTTAGCCATGCACAATACCTTTTCTTTAGGAACTCCTGCTATGCCAGCCAAGGATAGAAATATTTAATAGCTACAAAAAAGAGTTTTCAAATCTATTATCTCAATTCATGTAAAAAAAATCTCTGAAAGAGGTCTTATTATGCTTATTTTATAAATGAGAAAAAACGCTGTATCTGCAAGTGGCAGAGCTGGAACCTGAACTCTGATAGAATTTAAAAAACTAATTTTATGTTTTACTATTTTTCTTACTCCAATTCTAGGTTTGTTTGATGTTTATTCTTATTACTTATGTCTTTCACAATAGAGCTACCCAGAGCACTGGGTACTATTAGTACAAGATATATAGCATATATTTCAACAGAATGCCCAGATAATAAAAAATCTGAATCTGGATGTATCTGTATCCTATTGGCTTGTTATTGGTTATCATTTATTTTATTCCAGAGGGAAATAACTTTAGCTATAATTCTAAGAATTGCATAATAACTTGAATACTTTTTCTCTGACAGGACAAGTTCAGAAAGAGATTGATTTAATTATGGGCCCCAATGGGAAGCCTTCTTGGGACGACAAATCCAAAATGCCTTATACTGAGGCAGTTTTGCATGAAGTTTTGAGATTCTGTAATATAGTTCCATTAGGGATTTTCCATGCAACCTCTGAAGATGCAGTTGTACGTGGTTATTCCATTCCTAAAGGCACAACAGTAATTACAAATCTTTATTCTGTACACTTTGATGAAAAGTACTGGAGAGACCCAGAAGTGTTCCATCCTGAGCGATTTCTGGACAGCAGTGGATATTTTGCCAAGAAGGAAGCTTTGGTTCCTTTTTCCCTAGGTAAGAGAACTTTCACAGGGGCGTAACTTTAGAATAAAGGATAATGATAATTCATTAGATATAGCATCTTAATCTGAAGCATCCTCCTGTAGAATTAAATATCCCAATTCTAAAAACACAGAACTGATTCTTACAGGAGAGAATGATTTAATTGGAAGTAATTAACACCTGTTTCTGCTTAATATAAGCCTTAATTTATCAACTATAGATGGACTTTTGAGAACCCCTGGCTTCTTCTAAAACTGTTTTTGCCTGTGGCTTTTTTGCCCATAATCAAAACTTGTGGAATGAGAAGGCAGTAACCCAGAGAGGGAAAAGATACAGTCACTTAAGTAAAACTAGAATCTCACTATCTTGGCTTCTGGTTATTGTATTTCATCTTCAACTAGGAAAATATTGCTGCTTCTGTGAAAAGGTACAAAAGACCCATGGAAAATGGACTAGAAACTCTTCCCCTTCATTGGGGGAAGAACACACACTTAGTTGAAATGAAGCAGACTTTTCTTGAGCAAAATGTCTCACCTCAAATTAGATCTTTTGTGGCATATCTTAGGCTCTGTTGCAGCATGGGAGGGAAGTGGGAGATGGAACTAAAGTCTTACAAAAGTCCATGGTCTGACAAAAGGAGGTGAATGTATGGGTTCTAGGAGCTGAAGTGTCAAATCCTATTCTTTGAGATTTAAGAGAATCCTTTAATAAACATAATTCCCTCTTACTTTCTTTAAATTCCAGATTTCCTGAATGACACCCAAATATTAGACATTAATTTTGGTAAAGATTGTGGGTTTAAAAAATTATTATATCTGCTTTTTCTGTTTAGGGAGAAGACATTGTCTTGGAGAACAGTTGGCTCGGATGGAAATGTTCTTGTTTTTCACAGCATTGCTTCAGAGGTTTCATTTGCATTTTCCACATGAACTAGTTCCAGATCTGAAGCCCAGGTTAGGCATGACATTGCAGCCCCAACCCTACCTCATCTGTGCTGAAAGACGCTGAAAGTGCCTGGATGTTTTCGGGAGCAAGGGTGTATATTTGCCTTATCCCTGAACTTGGTTTAATCAAATCAATGTGTGTATTAGAATAAAAGTCACAGCATCATAAAGCCAAATGAACACAGATGTGTCTTAAAATAGTACTGGAGCAGAAACAAGCACTAGTCATGATTGCTTTTCAAGATTTTATGACTTCTGGGGTAAAATTCTCTGTTGAGAGACACAAAGGTGCAAATGATGGGTGTTGCTTAAAATGCTAAGAAGAGTCATGGATGCCCTAAGCAGAGCATCTTGTTTAGTAGCAGGTACTTTTATCCCTTCCTGACTTCATCTGGCTTCTGTCCTGGGGGGCCTTGGTTCCAGAAACCAGCTCCCTTCTGATCAGGTATTGTCATTAATGAACTGTGTGGTACCAGTACAGTTTAATAGAGGACTACAGAAGAAATTAAAACCCAAATAAATGAGTTTGGACTTTAGAGGTATTTTAGATATGGTGGGAGATTGTAGAAGAAATATATATTTAATGTAGAGCCTGCCAGTGCTTTCGTATCTTACTCCCTGCTCTGTCTTCATAAGAACTGTGTCACTCTTCTTATAAATGAGGGTCTGTGTGTCCTGAGTGTCCACCTTCATAGCAGCAGTTAAGTAGATAGGACATTACAATAATATATTTAAAATTTTAAATGATACATGGTTGTTGAATCTTTGTTGGCACATTTTCCCTGGTACCACTTCTTTCTAAAACTAATCACAAGGATTAAAGATTGAATTCACTTATATCTTTTAGAGGTCTCTAGGCATTTCCATGGGTTAGTGTTATTTTTCTAAAGATAATTATATTCAAATCCAAAAACATGCTCTAGAGATAGGGTAACTGTGTACACTGGGACTCTTGAGAGTGAATGGGGTCCTCCTATTCATAGTTATATCAGGACAACAAGAGTAAATTGTGACTGCCCTAAACAAACTGGAATGTATATTGACCCATTTATAGCTATTTTTACATCATCATTTCTTATAAAGTTGTGAAATTATGGGTACATGTTCTTGTAACATGGCTCATGAATAGTTGCAGCCTCAGAGTCAGCACACACAACAATGACTTCTATTAAGAATATGGATTTAACCTTAGTTTGGACTTACCTGTTGAACAGTTTCAAGTTTGTGTGTTATACATCAGGAGTCTGCATCTTGGATATATTCAGATGTTTCCAGTTGCAAGGGGAAGAAAATCCTTGCAAGTTCACTTAAATAATAAAAGGGAAATTTGGAGGAAGGGTGGAAGTTTTAGGGTCCATATGGCTTAGATGTTACATGGTGTAAAGATTCTGCTTCTTCCCACTTCTCAATTTTGCCTTCCAGATGATACCAGCTTTATCTTAAGGCTAGCTCATGGAGTACATGTGCTTTGCCCACCTCCATACAGAGAAAGCAAGCTTAGATCATTTCTGGGAGAGCAAGAGAATTTTTTAAATGCCCCCAGAAAACTGTTTTTTGTGTCCTATAGGTTCTGAGTTATGTGCCCATCCATTAATTTAAAACTATGGTTTGTGAGTGTAATTATGGTTCACTTAGCCTGAACATATGCCTGACTACTAGAAGTAGTCATGGAGTTGGCTTCTTCCAAAATACATGTGCTACATATGGGTGGTGTAGTTATCTAAACAAAACTAGGGCTAATTATGAAGAGAAGAGGAACTATAAGTCCGAAGACCAACTATAGTGTCTGCCTCACTTGCTAAGCCAAGCAACTTTCCAACCTACCTTCCTGAATCTTTCTGTAATTATTTTATTTTAGTTTTTCAGAGATAGTTGTCTAGGCTGGTCTTGAACTCTTGGGCTCAAGCAGTCCTCTAAGCTCGGCTTCCCAAAGTGCTGGGATTACAGGCATGAGCCACCACACCCAGCCCCAACCTTCCTGAATCTTGACAGACATATTCAGGTTGCTCCTTAATCTTTGCTCGCTCTTTGACATAGCAAATCTGTCATCCCAGGGTCTCCTACTTACTGTCATATCTGCTATAAGAGCCTAAGTTGAACTTTAAGGTAGTTTTACTGGGTAAAACAACTTAGTGAACTGAAGTAGATTATAATAAAAGTTGAGGAGGCTTTCTTTTGCTTTTGAGTACTACCACTACTGCTGCTAGTACAATTTAGGAACTCCATAAATCTATGCAGAATGAAGATCATGCTATTTTCACAGGTTAATTGTCAAGCCAGACAAATTATAAAAGATGTAGCTTCATCAACTTTTAAAGGTAGAAGAACCTTAACTTCACTTAATGTGCTCATTTTATAGCCAAGGAAATAGAGGTTTACACAGGGGAAGTGAATTCTCTAGATCACGGCAGAGGCATGCCTTATTTCATTCCATATTCCTTTTATTCACACCCAATAATTTATCTTACACTTTACAATTTATAAGGCTGTTTTTCATTATACTTTCAACTTGATTATTTGGAACCAGTTAGCTGTGGTAAAAATAAAATGCTACACTTTTGGAAAAATATAAATTAACATGAATTAGTAAGTAATCCATACTGGAAAAATCTGTTTTTTGAAATTACATTGTAACAGATACGTTGGATCTGTGCAATAGGATGCCTTCTCTCTTATCAGTTAGTGCTAAGCTACTGATTCAAATGTTAGAGATCTAATTTCTGATTCAACAAGTGAGCACGCTTGTTTTTTCTCACCTATCACTGAAATAACCATTAAGGATAGAAAATGGAATAAAGGCATTGAGAATACGGGTGGAGGGCAATGTTAGTGGATCAGAGACTTTGAAATTTTAGGAGATGGAAGGTGAATGGAAAAATATAGAAAACCACAAACAAAACCATGCATAGACGAAGCCAGAGGTGGAGATGGGAGCCCATTCTTCATGGGATAGCTATGGAGAAAATCAGTACATAAGGAGAGAAGTAGGTAAGGATAACTTTTTCTAAAAGTGGAAAGAAATCAAGCAGATTTACTGGGATAAACAGCTGAACAATTTGCCCCGTCTCATTTTCTTCTCCTGTTTGTGCAGTTGTAGAATTTGCCTCCAAGTGCTGAAATAAGTATAAATAAGTTTGGGTTCCTATGCCAAGGAGATGGTGGTGCTCCTACCTGGAATTGGTGCCCTACATTGAGGGCTCCCTAATTTTGTCTGCTTTAAACGGTAAGTTCTCTAGCGCCTAAACTGTTAATCAGGTGTGAGGACAAGTTTCAGTGAACCAAGTGATGACTGGGGAAACATCAACAAAAGGACTAGCTTTGAGCATTGAATAAATTTAAGTATAGAACTAAGACAATGGTGGCATAAATGTGACAATACTATCTGTTTTATACTCATAAAAATAATGCATCTAACAAAAAATGAGAAGAGGAGAAATGGTAGAACACAGAATAAGTTCTTTGCTTCATATAGTTAGAATTCAAAAGATATAGTTTAAAAGTGACAAGTAGTAGACGTTTAAGAATATTTAACAGTACAAGAGTAAAGGATAATATTGCCTTAAATTGGGTAGTGGGAGATAGAGAAGAATATGTACAACCTAATTTTTTAATTTATAGATGAGAAGCAGATACTATAAAGAAATGGGGTCCAAAGATAGTATAACTATTGCCACTGAATCAAAGATACACACTTTCTTAAACGTCATAATTAAAATGAGTTTTTAAGAAAAGAGCAAATAATATGAAGAATTAAGTCCTTACAGTCACATGAATAAATATAAATGGGCTTATCTCACCTATCAAAAAGGTGTTCATATAATATAGCATTGAATTTGATTTCAGACCAAATCCAATGCTATATTATTGTTGTATAGAAGAGATACTTAAAACATAGGTTAAAGGTTAAAAATAAAAGGACGGTTAAAGACATGCCAGGAAATACAAATAAAAAGAAAGCAGGAGTCATGATCTTAATAAAACAAGGCAGAATTCAAGTCAGAAAACATAAGACAAAAAAGTGCACTTTGTAATTCTAAGTACTATAATTCATAAGGACTTTATAACAGTTATAATACCACACCAAATAACAACTTTCATAAGGCAGAAATTATAAGACATGCAAAAACAAATAGGTAGAAGTACCTTAATACTGAGAGCCATGTTACCCAGGTTGGTCTCGAACTCTTGAGCTTAAGAGATCCACCCACCTCGGCCTCCCAAAGTGCTGGGATTACAGTGTGAGCCACCACACCCAGCCAAGAATAAGGAATTTTTCTGTGTAGTGATATGGTGAGATGTCCAGGATAATGAAACAAAGATACAGAATGCAGCAGTGTTAGCAAGCAAAAAGGGCTCATTGTCAATGTACCAGAAGCCAATACTATGACACAGTTTTTGAGAAAAGCTTGATACTCAAAGTAGACTTCCAACTATTTGCTGTTGACTCCCAGATCCATACTTGTAGCCCATATCACTTTTCTGAATTCCATACCTACACTGAAATACACTTGGTTGTCTCAAGCCTCTTAATCTCACTTTGCTCTAATCTGAATTCGTCTCTTCACTCTCTAACACATCCAAAATCAATTCCTCTGATATACCCTAACTCAGTGAATGATATTGACAGCTGTCTAAATCTGAAATCTGGGAGCCACCCTTAATCTTTCTTATCCCCATACCAACTCCATATTAAATCATAACTCTGTTCATGTCGCTGTGGTCCACAATCTATTCCAGTCAATATCGCCAAGCACTCCCTATGTCTAAATCTTGCTCTGCCATTCTGTCAAAAGACAAAATTAACAACAAATTGTTATAGATGTAATTGGCTTTTATTCTAGATTCATGTATCAGGTAACTTGCATTCTACAAAATAGAATGAAATTCCCACTGGGTAATGGCAGAACAGTGGGTTTTGTAAGGATGGGAACAAGGAAACAGAATAATAGAAAAATAAAAACTGATCAGTTATCACTAGGTTACTTCAGATTACGTCTTTGTACAGGTTAAAGCAGCGGGGACTTCCTTGATTATGCTCAGATAGACTGGAATCTCCTGTTTTGAGAAAAAACTAGTCTGGGGATCAATGTATTTCCTTAAAGTTTCAGTTTGATTGTGTGGCATTTAGTATGAATGACTCCATTTTGCTTTGGTCTGGTCTATTGGGGCCTAGGTGCAGGAACTCAGTCCAAAACAATAGTTTTAAACCATTCAAAATACAGCTGACCCTTGAACAACATGGGTTCGAACTCCATGGGTCCACTTATATGTGGAGTTTTTCAGTAAATATAGTTGGCCCTGTATTGGCAGGTTCTGCATCCGCAACTAAATGCAGATGAAAATATAGTATTAGTGGGATGTGTAACCCTCGTATAGAGAGGGCCAACTTTTTGTATCTGCGGGTTCCACAGGGTTGACTGTGAGACTTGAATATGTGACAATTTTTATAGCTGAGGAGGTCCTAGAACCAATCCCCCACATATAACAAAGGACAACTGAAGTATGCTATTTGATCCTTGTAAAATGTAAATCTAATCATGTTATTCTTCCGATTGAAACTTTTTCATTGTTTCCCATTTCCTTTAGGAATAAAGTTTAAAGTGGCACGTCATGTTTTACAAGGCCCTTCATTAACCACCATCTCTCTACCACTCCCTCTTCTTGTGCTTTATCTTCCAGCCACCCTAAATCTCTTTGGCTCCTCCAGTGTAGGGATGCTTTCTCTTCTGGCCTCTGTACACGCTGTTATTCTCTCTCTACAAGCAGTCATTTCTGAGCTAACTCTTAATTCTTCAGTTCTGAGCTTAAAAGTCACATTCCTTTGAGAAGTGATGCATCTCTGCTCCACCTGCCACTCCTATCCCCTACACACTAGAAGAGCTTATATTAATCTGGCAATTATAATGAAGGAACCAGAGTTGTATCTATTCATATCCTTTGTGAAGTTTGTTTCTATGAGATGATGCAATCTAGATACAGGGAATTTGTGATGACTTAAGTAAGCCAGAAACTCCAGGTTTCTTGTAAAATAAGTAGAAAAAGCCAATAGCACCAACAAAGTAAGTAATGAAATAACAGCAGGAAACAGCTTTCAAATCATGAAATAATTTCTAAAAGTACTTTTATGGAGAAAAATGTGTCAGTAGATACATATATACAGCACTAAAAGAATATTTCTAATACCAGTGGCTTTAAAAATAGAAGATTTATGATGAAAATTATTTTAACAAGAAATTAATCTGATTCAGTAGCAGTCAAAAAAAAGATCTGTAATATGGCTTATGGCAATTTCTCAAGTAAGATTTCATCTAATAGTATGGTGTGCATTTAATATACTCTCACATTCTTTCTTACACGTATGAATTTTTAAGTTTCAGCTCGGGAGTGATACTTTTTTGGGTTTCTTTAGGCTAGTTATTTTGACATATGTCAATTACTTAGCAAGGGTTAAATAATTTAAGGACTATATTATGTAAAAATGAGTTCCCAATAGTAATTGGATTTACAATTAAATCCAGTAAATCCAGTATTTGTAATTAAAAATGCTGCTTTTGAGAAAATAACATAAACTAAAAATATATATATATATATAAAACCCAATAAAAGACAGTATGGAAATGTGATTGAATCTCAATATGCATGCTTGCACATGTATGAATTTATACACATACACTTGTATGTATTCTGCAGGAGAGGAAGTAATAACAGAAATACACGTAAACATGATGGAAAATGTACTCTAGAGAAATATAAGGACAGGATATATACATTTTAAGTATACATTTTAAGTGCAAATAATTATCAGTTAAAATTTTATTAATCAGTAATAAGTGGTGGGACTGGTTTACAAATAGTGTGTGGCAATGGTAACAAAAGTGGCAGCAAGGAACTCAGCACTCACTCAACATGTCTAATAAATAAAGCTTAGTGATTAATTAAATATTGATACTGTGAAGGATCAAAAATTCTAACACTTCCAGAGATCTTAAATTGATATCTTTCAGATAAGCCAAATATTCTAGATAAGTAAGAAACTGCATGCCAATACCATATTCTAAAGGAATTACCTTGGAAAATTAATGGTTTCACTGTGTGCAAAACTGCATGAATCTAAAATATGATATGGTCTCCAATAATAATAGAAGATATTAGCCTACCATTTTGCCATCATTTTGGCTGGTCTTTATATCTTCAAATGTATTTCACAAGTAGGGTACATATCCACACACTGGCAAGTTTACAAAACATTGTAAATATGGTCCATTTTCTTGTGATTATTTTGATAATATGGTTATTTAATAATGTACTTTTGTATGAAATGATTTATTAACATATTTAGATTTTTTATATGAAAAATAAGTATTCCAATTCTTTACTTGATCTCAGAAATCAGTCTTGCAGTTGGGCTTCAGAAATAATAAGTAGTGATAGGTCATTTCTGTCATGTAGTCTTGAGGCAGAGGGAAATTAACAGAAAGATGAACATCAGTTTGAGAGTAAACAAATGACAACTAAGATATGGATCTAAAGATAACCACATATTCCAATTATTTATTCAATGTACGTGTCCTTTAGGGCTCACTATATTCCTTTTTTCTTTATCTTTAATGAGATTAGTTTCATTTGATTTTGCATTAAGGCAAAAGACAGACATCTCCTTTTCTTTGGTTTTAATTAGTTTCAAATTCATCTAAGAAGAGAAAATGTTGCTCATTTCATAAAAGGTGAACCTTGGTATTACGGCAAATTTTTTTTCTTCTGACAAATCTGTGCTGTGTTTATATTAACTAAATCTTTAAAAATACAAATCCTGAGCTAGAGTAAAAATAACAATTTTGACTAAAGAATAAATCCCTTCATTGTTAAGCCTAAACAGCTTTAAAATTCAGTCATGGAACATAAAGAAGGTAAGACTGGAATTCAAACTTCTGATGTCCATGGCAAACCTGAATACTCTCAGCAGAAATAACACACACATAGTAGATAATACACAATAGTAAAAAGCATCAGAAATTGATGCACCTGGATTTTGTTAAATATAACAAAGGTCACTCAGTCCTTCATGGATAAACCTAGCTGGGAGAATAGAATTTAACAGTGTATTGCATTGAGAAGAAAACCCTCAGAAAGGCAACACTGGATTCATTTTTAGACAGGCATAGACTTTTTTTCCAAAACATTCAAAGACATAAAAGACACATTGGGAAATACAATATGAATCTATTTTCATAAAAGCGAAAGTTCTGGCCACTTTGGTAACTGAAATAAGTCACTTGAGTTTTTAGTTATAGCTGACCCCCAATGAAAAATAAGAGCTCACTACCCAGCAAAGCAGCATTATGACAAAGTATTCATACAATAGTGAAGGATTTAAGTAAGGGCTCTGCAATATGGGTCAACACGGATGGTATTCTTGGTTTAAGAATAGTTTTCTAGTTCCTGTGAAAGTGCACAGAGTGGAAAACTGCCAGCAGAGCAAGGATCCTCTCACAGTATTAAGGCTTGTCCATGTGGGAATGGTCAGTTGAGAGTCAGCCGGTGGACACTAGGCAATGATTTCTGCCCCTGGGCACAGCCCTCTGGGCTTCTTCAATATGACTTTCTTTTACTCAAACTGTCGCTCTTCCTCTTCATCTGCTTCTTCAATGACCTGAATCTCATCTGCTTGAGGTAAGGAGGAGTTCTCCACCTGCAGTTTATTCCCATCAGCTTTACATTTTTCTTCTTCCTCTATGATTTCCTTCCATATCTTATGGTTTTCAGTGAGGTGGTGCATTAGCTGACAAAATATTTGCCGTCTGCTTTTCCTTCTTGGTGGTTCTGTGAAATTTAAAAGAAATATATTCTAATCACAGCAATATGATTTAATCATTCAACAGATATTAAGTGCCTATTATATTCTAGGTATCTAAGCACTGGGGTTACAAAAGTAAACAGTACTATAAAATAATAGTATAATGAAATAGTACTATAAAAATAATCCCTGCATTATGGTGTTCAGATTCTAGTGGAAAGAGCTAGGAAAACAGAAAGAAGCAAAACAGGAATACGTTAGATGGTATTGTTATGGATAAAAACAAAATAGAGAAGAGGTTTAGGGAAAACTGGCTGGGTATGGTGGAGAGGGAAGAATTATGCTGAAATTTCAAATGAAAATAACCCAAAGTTAAAAAAACAACCTTTAAGGGCATCTTATGTATTGAATTAAACACAATTACCAACATTTTGATAAGTATAATTTTTTTTTTTTTTTTTTTTTTTGCGACGGAGTCTTGCTCTGTCACCCAGGCTGGAGTGCAATGGTGCGATCTCAGCTCACTGCAACCTCTGCCTCCCAGGTTCATGCCATTCTCCTGCCTCAGCCTCCCGAGTAGCTGGGACTACAGGCGCCCGCCACTATGCCCAGCTAATATTTTGTATTTTTAGTAGAGATGGGGGAGTATAATTTTTAGAAGTCAGTCAACCTTCAGATGCTAATGCCATTTAAAAAAAAAGAATTTTAAATACATTTTAATAGGATTTGCCATGCTAATCCTAAATACAAGGCATGTGTGTGTTGCAGTGGGAGGTGCTTTGTAGTTTTCCTATCTGGTCTGATTTATTGCATGCTTGAAAATCAAAACAATACTTATGTAGGTATAATTTAAATTCTACTTTAAAATGAGCAAATAACTCATTTCATTCACAATTACAAAGTGACAATTTTCATTTCATTTTCCATTCATACTAATTGTCTTATATAGAAAAGCATGTCATTACAGTTTGGTAACTCAAATTCATAATGCCACAAAACTTGGCTCTCCCTTTACAACCAGGGAATGTATGTTTTCCTTCCCCCTCCCCCCCAACCCCCCACTGTTTTGATCTATTTCTCAAGTCTATGTGAACGGCAGATTAGTATGCTGCTATGGAAGTTGTGCTCCTCAGCTTTCCAGTGGGATTGGGGGTGAGATGTGTGAAAAGGAGTGACATGAAGGAGGACTCGCCATGAGGATCCACCTATGTTCAGATGTGGTGATGGCCCTATCGTGCATGCACAGGTGGAGCCTGCTGAATGAAGAGTACTGGTTAGAGGACAACACCTCAAGAGATGTTACTTTAATTAAATAAGAATAAGAATGCTTGTTGTATTACAGTATTCACCCAGTACCCAGCTTACAGCAGTTACTCAAAACATGACTATTGAATCTGAACATTTAGATAGTGGTTACTCAATATAATGACTGCCGAATCTGTATCTGAGAAACAAAGTTCCAAATCTAAGTTAAATGGATATATGCAGTTATTAAAGGTTGAGTATCCCTATTCAAAATGCTTGGGACCAGAAGTGTTTCTGATTTTGGAATATTTGCATTATATTTAGCATCCCTAATTGAAAAATCTGAAATCCAAGTGTCCCAATGAATATCTCCTTTGAGCACCATGCTGGCACTCAAAAAGTTTTGGATTTTGGAGCATTTCATATTTCAGATTTTCAGACTTTGAATACTCAACCTATAACATTACATAAATTATAACGTCCCTATATTCTTACTTGGATTTAGATTGTTTTCCATTTCTTCATCATCTGTATCTAATTCTTCACCATCTTCATCATCACCACTTTCAGTATCATTATCCTCTTCTGCTTCTATCCACTGACCTGGTAGCAAACCAGCAGCATCATAGGAGTTACACAGGGGACCCACTATGTGGGTGATAAAAGATTCTTGGAGTTTTGCTAGTTGAGGAGAAGAACGATCCATGAATGGACTGATGGGCAGACCAAGATTTGCTTCTTCATCTCCCTGCATATTTTAAAAAGAAAAGTACATTTTTAACTGTTGAAAGAACCACTACTGAGCTTTGCTGTTAAAATTATCTTGAGTTTTTTTTAAATAAACAATTTATATAAAACTATTTTTTATAAATAAGCATCAATGAATCTATTCTATCATTTCAACTGTAAGAATTTAATATTGAGAAATCCTAAACAAAACTTTATTCTCACATTCTGTCCACATCAACCAGTATGGCTGATACTCAGTTAATAAGAAACATACAGATCTTTAAAAATAAGTATCAGATATTTTACTAACAACCTGCAAAATTCCATAGTGTCAATTATGGATTCTCTTTATCTAGGGGCAAAAGCATAATAGAAACATTTTTGTTGTAGTTATATCTCAAATGTACAGAGCTGAATTTTGCAAGTGCTTTTCAATAACACTACCTCCACCCCCCTTTTTTTTTAACAGCAGAACTCTCTAATGATTCAAAATCAGAAAACCTAATATGAAAAACAAATAAAGTAGAGCTACCATAATGGAGGTGAGGCTCCTGGGGCTAGATCCCCAATGGCCTGCCTTCTGTTACCCTACCACTGTGGCTTCTAGGGCTTAATTTGAGATCAGACTACTATCTGTGTGGTGTTGAGCAAGCTCTATGTACAAATGCACTGTGTGTAAAATCTGAATAATAATCTACCTTATAGGGATGCTATGATGAGGTTAAAAGGCAGTATTATATAAGGTGTTTAGCACAGTACTGAGCATTCTCCAAATGGTACTATTAACATTTTAGTCCTAGTGTCTGAACTGGTTTGGGATACATTTCTCCCCACAGTGTACAAATTCTGCAGGTAAGCAGTGTCTGTTCTGTAATGAGCCAACATAACGCTGAGGAAACAACCAGAAACTGTCCCCGTGATTAACTGTCCCCGTGATTAACTGTCCCATGATTAGAAATCTTTTACGAGATTATCTTCTATGAGGAAGAAAACAATTGATGTTTTTCCAAAAACAGTTGGGTTTATCTATAGGACTCTGTAATTTCATAGATATAACCCAGGAGTTTGGCTTTCCTAAGCCCATGGCAGTTAAATGGCTGTAGGCATATAAAGACAGTATAATTAGGATAACAGGAAAAAAGTTGGGCGTGGTTAGAATTTTACATCAATATCTGAAGAAAGTTTAATAGCATTACTAGAATGAGAAAGAAGTTTAGTTCTGATGAGGGATGATTAAAACTTTCATAAGTGGTAGGATATCAGATGACATTTTCCTCCTTTGATATTGAATGACACTTAGATTAAGTGAAACTCTCTGAGATAATATATTTTTAGTGATATATGTGAAATTATAATAGTTAACATTTATTGAGAACTTATGTGTAAGAAACTATTCTAAGAAGTCTACATATATTAGTTCATTTAATCGTCACAGAAACCTTATGACGTAGGTACCATCATTATTCCTATTTTATCAGTGAGGAAACTGGCACAGAGAGGTTAAGTAACTTACCCAACCAAGGTCATATTGCAGATAAGGAAGAGAAGCCAGGATTCAGCCTCGGGCAGGGCTTCCAGGTTTGCTTAGTAAGTAAAATTCTATATGCTTTTAAAATAATATGCAGGGTCTAAATGAATATTTCTAATGTTATCTCACTGAACTAGTGAATTTTCTAAAACTGACATACACCATTATTTTTTATTACCTATTTGTACATATAATATAAAGATAACATTTTCCTTAGGATAAAATTCCTCATTTGTAAACATGAGATCCATGGGCGAGCTCTAAATAAAGCAAGTTTCAATTATCACTGAGAATGAAGATGAGAATATGCAAACTGCATATTATAATCTTACAAATTAGGTAAATACAGCCATTTACTACCCCAAATTAAATATAATTTAAACATATCAGAGAATAGTAAAATACTAATAATGTTTCCATGATTATACAATATGGCATTTTGTAACTTATAAACAGCAGAGTACACACTATTGTGTTGGGATGTTTAGCTGGTGGCTGTAAAACACTGCACATTTTCAATATAATCTGGAAGTAACAAAATATACCAGGTGCATGGTTACATAGGCTCAATTACTCCCACTTTCCACTCATGTTAAGAAAGCCCTCACCTGGTAGATATCTTGACCTTTCCTGATAATTAGGGCCAACAAGGATTGCTAAGGAATGTAATTCCAAAGTCAAAAAGGTGTATTTGCTATTTTGGAGATAACAAAATGTTAGGTATGTCAGGAAATCATGTACTCCTACACTGTAGGAAGCCTCAAAAGTGGACCCCAAAAATGGCAGATTCAGCAAAGTGGGAAGATTATTTTAATGCCAAAAATTTTATAGTATTCTCTGATAGTTTGTATTTCTGTGGGGTCAGTGGTGATATCACCTTTATCATTTTTTATTGCATCTCTTTGATTCTTCTCTCTTTTCTTCTTTATTAATCTAGCTAGTGGTCTATTTTGTTAATCTTTTCAAAAAATCACCTCCTGGATTCATTGATTTCTTTGAAGGGTTTTCTGTGTCTCTATTTCCTTCGGTTCTGCTCTGATCTTAGTTATTTCTTGTCTTCTGCTAGCTTTTGAATTTGTTTGTTCTTGCTTCTTAGTTCTTTTAATTGTGATGTTAGGGTGTCGATTTTAGATCTTTCCCGCTTTCTCCTGTGGGCATTTAGTGCAATAAATTTCCCTCTAAACACCGCTTTAGCTATGTCCCAGAGATTCTGGTACATTGTGTCTATTTATTTCTGCCTTAATTTTGTTATTTACCCAGTAGTCATTCAGGAGCAGGTTGTTCAGTTTCCATGTAGTTGTGCGGTTTTGAGTGAGTTTCTTAATCCTGATTTCTAATTTGATTGCACGGTGGTCTGAGAGACTGTTTGTTATGATTTCTGTTCTTTTCCATTTGCTGAGGAGTGTTTTATTTCCAACTATGTGGTCAATTGTAGAACAAGTGCGATGTGGTGCTGAGAAGAATGTATATTCTGTTGATTTGGGGTGGAGAGTTCTGTAGATGTCTATTAGGTCCACTTGGTCCAGAGCTGAGTTCAAGTCCTGAATATCCTTGTTAATTTTCTGTCTCGTTGATCTGTCTAATGTTGACAGTGGGGTGTTAAAATCTCCCATTATTGTTGTATGGGAGTCTAAGTCTCTTTGTAAGTCTCCAAGGACTTGCTTTATGAATCTGGGTGCTCCTGTATTGGGTGCATACATATTTAGGATAGTTAGCTGTTCTTGATTAATTGATCCCTTTACCATTATGTAACGACCTTCTTTGTATTTTTCAATCTTTGTTGGTTTAAAGTCTGTTTCATCAGAGACTAGGACTGCAAACCCTGCTTTTTTTCTGCTTTCCATTTGCTTGGTATATCTTTCTCCATCCCTTTATTTTGAGCCTATGTGTGTCTTTGCATGTGAGATGGGTCTCCTGAATACAGCACACTGATGGGTCTTGACTCTTTATCCAATTTGCCAGTCTGTGCCTTTTAATTGGGGCATTTAGCCCATTTATATTTAAGTCTAACACTGTTATGTGTGAATTTGACCCTGTCATTATGATACTAGCAAGTTAATTTTGCCCATTAGTTGATGCGGTTTCTTCATAGTGTCGATGGTCTTTACAATTTGGCATGTTTTTGCAGTAGCTGGTATCAGTTTTTTCTTTCCATATTTAGTGCTTCCTTCAGGAGTTCTTGTAAGGCAGGTCTGGAGGTGACAAAATCTCTCAGCATTTGCTTGTGTGTAAAGGATTTTATTTCTCCATCACTTAAGCAGCTTAGTTTGGCTGGATATGAAATTCTGGGTTGAAAATTCTTTTCTTAAAAAAAAAAAAAAAGAAAATTCTTTTCTTTAAGAATGTTGAATATTGGCCCCACTCTCTTCTGGCTTGTATGGTTTCTGCAGAGAGATCCACTGGTAGTCTGATGGGCTTCCCTTTGTGAGTAACCCAGCCTTTCTCTCTGACTGCCCTTAACATCTTTTCCTTCATTCAACCTTGGCGAATCAGACGATTATGCGTCTTGGGATATTTATGTGGCCAACAAACATATGAAAAAAGCTCGTCATCACTAGTCATTAGAGAAATGCAAATAAAAACCACAATGAGATAACCTCTTATGCCAGTTGGAATGGCGATCATTAAAGTCAGGAAACAACAGATACTGGAAAGGATGTGGAGAAATAGGAACGCTTTTCAAAGACTTAGAACTAACCCAAATGCCCATCAATGATAGACTGGATAAAGAAAATGTGGCACATATATACCATGGAATACTATGCAATTATAAAAAAAGGATGAGTTCACGTCCTTTGCAGGGACATAGATGTAGCTGGAAACCATCATTCTCAGCAAACACAGAAACAGAAAACCAAACACTGTATGTTCTCACTCATAAGTGGGAGTTGAACAATGAGAACCCATGGACACAAGGAGGGGAACATGACACATGGGGGCCTGTCACGGGGTGGGGCGGTAGGGGAGGGATAACATTAGGAGAAATAACTAATGTAGATAACAGGTTGATGAGTGCAGCAAACCACCATGGCACGTGTATACCTATGTAACAAAACTGCATGTTCTGCACATGTACCCCAGAACTTAAAGAATAATAATGAAAAAAAATTTTTAAAATTTAAGAACAGCTGGGCATGGTGGCTCACGTCTGTAATCCCAACACTTTGGGAGGCTGAGGTGGGTGGATCACAAGGTCAGGAATTTGAGACCAGCCTGACCAACATGGTGAAACCCCATCTCTACTAAAAATACAAAAATTAGCCAGGCATGGTGGCGTGTGCCTGTAATCCCAGCTACTCAGGAGGCTGAAGGCAGGAGAATCGCTTGAACCCAGGGGCAGAGGTTGCAGTGAGCCGAGATTGTGCCACTGCACTACAGCCTGGGCAACAGAGCAAGCCTCTGTCTCAAAAAAAAGATTTAAGAACAAAAGAGCATGCTTATATCTTTGAATCCTTGAAAACCACTAAGTGTCTATTCTCTCCATTTGTAGCCCTCTGTCCAGATTTCTTCCCAGTTGATGTTCCTATGGCAAGGAGTTAGTCTTTTTATAGCAGAGTTGAAAATGGATTGATATTCTTTATATTCTGAGCATACCCTGAATAATTTAAAAACCACTTCATCTGGAAATAATTATTCTAGGTTACAGAATCTCAGGGCTGAGAGAGACCTTGGAATCATAATGTCATTTAGCCTTGTTATAGAAAGTAGTCAGAAAGACATGGGCAGAGCAGGAGAGGGCCTGCCCCCAACCCAATCAGAAATGTCAGGTGACCATCAGGTGATAGGTTAAGCTGTCTCTCTAAAATAATAATTGGTCACAGCTGGCACCAGGGTAAGGCAGTCACCCAATAGATAGAAAAACCTGAAACTGGTCATCAGCAGCATCCTGATAAGATCTCAGGAGCTGGGTGAGTGGGCTCAAGCATGTACACTAAGAGGCAAAATGGTGAAGTTTAATTGGTATATAGCCTTCCTCCATGAACTCTGGACAGGTAAGGGAAAAATGCCTCAAGTGAGCATGAATACAACTTCAGTAAACACACTGTGTATGTGGCCCCTCCCAAGTGCTGGCAGGCCACTGCACATCCGACAGCCACCTCAAGGGATGAATTGGGAGAAGTAACACAACCCTGGAAGCATGCCAGTGCATAAGACTCCAAGTCAAAGATCAAACCATGCACTTGATCTCTCAGGTTGCCCTCCTGGTCTTCTTCCAAGTGTACTTTACTTCCTTTCATTCTTGCTCCAAAGCTTTTAAATAAACTTTCCCTTCTGCTCTAAAACTTGCCTCAATCGCTCCCTCTGCCTTATGCCCCTCAGTTGAATTCTTTCTTCTGAGGGGGCAAGAATTGAGGTTGCTGCAGACTCGTACAGATTTGCCACTGCTAACAGCCCTACCTATAGACTCACGAGTATATTCAGCTCACTCAAGATAGGGAATAGGTTATTTTTTAAAATTTTAACAGCAATGGCAAACAGAACATAGAAAATACTAAGAACCAAAGCAAATGCAACAATTTTTAACCCTTCCCAGTCAAAGCAACTCAGAATTCAAACACTTAATAAAGCTATCCAAAAACCCAAAGAGGAGTGTCTTCTTATGACAGCTCTTAAAAATCCCACCAAGCTCATGTTTCAACTTACCTGCTCATAAAATTCATTGACAATGCCTTCTGTCCATTTCAAATGCAAGTCTCGAACTTTTGCTGGGCCATTTATATCTGCCAGTTTGATGCACACCTGGCATACCAAGAGGCGATCATTTTCATTACTCCATTCTATGCCATTACTATTTACATCATTTGCCTATTTTGGAAAAACAAACTCATTTTAGGTTCTGAAGGCATTTAAAAAAATTGTTGTTTTTGTTTGCTTTTACCAAATTATCTTAAAACTGTTTCCTGTCTAAATGACAGAAAGTTAGTTCAGCAAATAGTTCTTTTTAAAATCAGTTTATTCCATAATATGGACTTCTATTGGTTAAATTTCCTTTCTAAAAATGCTTTCTAGAAAAACATATAACCATGGGTTTCAATATTTGTGATTACCACAAAGAATCATGAATTATATGTGTGTGTGTGTGTATATATACACATATATATTAAGTATAGTAGATACACAATATCAAAAAAATCATATAAGAATTATAACTACTTATTTCTACCTCAAAAAAGAACACTTAAGAAGCTAGAGAAGTTTGCTCTTGCTGTGAAAGGCAATGATATAGTGACCTGAACGCAAGTCTGAGAAGCTGGCCCTATAGTTTTAAATCCTGACTCAGAATGTCATGAATCAGCAAGCTCTATTCTGAATCAAAAATTCAGTGTGTAACAGTGAAAAAACTGCTTAATCTATTCGAATCTAACTTTCTTCATCTATGAAGTAGGAAAAGTAATACCAATCTAGCCATGCTGCTATGAGGATTAATAAATGAAAAAATGCCTTGCTCACGGTAAGTGTTAAATATTGTTATTTAAATAAATGATAATTGTCATTATTAGCTGGAAAAAAAAGCCTTTCAAGAACTAAAATTTCATTTTGTAAAAAATGAAAAGAATGAGCCATGTCATAGCTTTTGAACTTCAGTGTTATGGTTGCTTTTTGGCACCAAACTCTTTCAGAAAAAAAAAAAAAAAAATTATGTAGAACACCATCATAGAAAACACTTGAGAGAAGAGCTCTTTTGACTGAAACTTAATAGGAGGTCTAGAGCCCCATTCATATGGCATTTTTTTGAGAGACTTCAAAATAGAAGTCTTTACGGAATACACATTCAAAGTATTGTGTTAGATAATCTTTTACCTGTAAAAGGTGACTTAAGCACTTAAATGAATTTTATTTAAAAATTAAAGTGAATAAAACTATACAACTATGAAATAATTTTAAAGGTACCCTGATTTCTCACTGATTTTCATAAGCATTTCATTAATGTCATGACAACAACATATATAAGGGTCTCCTTCCAGTGGGTTTAATCTAGTACTCCTTTGTTACCAGTTTCTCTACCCTGCAGGTACAGCTTCTTTTAGGTCACAAAAGTCATCAAGAAAATAGCAGCTTCCTGCAAGCCAGAGCGGGAATCTAAAGCGGTGGTCCTCAACTTTTTTCACCTCAAATGTCTGAGGGATAAAGCATAGTCCCATGAGTACCACTGTCATACTGGGGCAGTGATTCTTGGTCCCCTGGTGAATATGAGTTCTTTGGCCTAGTACAATGTCTGCACATAGTGGGCAATCCCAATACATACTTGTTGAATGACTGAATTATTCTCAAGTAGAAGAAGGTGCTTCCTTTTCCCTACACTAGCCAGCTAAAGAATCACTAATATAAAGAAGGTATAACAGGTGCAGTGAGGTAGGCATAATTAACTGGATTCTTAGAATTAACTGGATTCTTAGGAAACACATAAAATTAATTTTATATAATGCCTTACTTGACACTAAGCATGGCTTTGTCAAATCTCTCTTTAAACTCATTTGAAATAACTGGTTTGTTTCTAGGTGAAAGTATGTGAAATAAAGTCACAATAGTATAAGTTTATGTGTTGAAAGAAAATATAGCAAGCAATAATATTTTAGGAAATGTTACCATAACAATAAAAATGTTTATTTTTTAAAATATAGGCATATATATTATTTTATATCAACTATTTATTGTTACTTTCTAAGCAGTAATAATTCTAACTTAACATTAAAAATCATATTTTATCAGTAACACTGACAATAAAGATTTTTTAAATCAGGCACTAATTTTCATAACAAACCTTGGCATTGAATTCTGCAAGAAAATCAAAATGCTTTTTAAGATCTGTGGCAAGGATTGCTTCGATGACTAAAAAACGAAAGCGCTTGAATTCCACATGATCAAGATGAAGAAGGAAGTTGTATTCTGGGCGAGAAAGATACAGATTCCAAGCTGACGCAGCATGATGATTTTCCAGAACAGATCTGTCATTGTATAAAACTGCCTAAAAAGAAATACAGAAAAATGAGGCAGACACCTCAAAGATATTAAACTTTAATATCATTAATATCAGGTTGGAAGTACACAAACAATGAATACCTACTATATACTAGGCATTTTACCAGGTATTTTAGTACCTGTGAAAATAGGTTGTGATAATTTTATAAATGAGTAAACTGAAGTGCAAAGAGGTTAGGATACACCTTTCCTTCCAGCATACATGGCTAGTAAGTGAAAGGGTTATTTATCTTTAAAGTTTATCTTTGCAGACCCTGTGCTGCCTCCCAAGAGATGTGAAGTTGATATTTTGAGGTCTATTTCATTTAATCAGAAAACCTTCTCAGATAAACTGTGAATAAAGCCATTAGGTATCTAGAGCAGGTTTCAGAATACATTTCTGTTGTTTAGTCATTCTGGAGTCAATGGTGATGGTGACTAAAGAAGAGGAAGCAGGAGTACTGTCCAGGGTAAGTAAGAGGCCTGCCTGTCTGAGACGGACATATCCTGGATTCCCATCCTCACACAGTGCCTGGGAGTAAAACAGAACTATGTAACAGATAAAAACACAAATCCTCTGGTTCAAATGGTGTGGAATTACTCACTTTTCCTACACTTCACTCCAGTGGAAGACCCTGAGGTACCTCCTCAGTACTCTAGGACTTTGGAATACAGACTTAAAATCAGTGGAGTATAGAATTTCTAAAGCCTCTTCCACCTCTAAAAATAAAGCAATTCTTTAAATTATTAAATAAGCATATAATTATTTTAAAAAGCTTCTACAGCCAAGTTGTGTTAAAGGCCAGGGATAAAAATTAAAACCCTATCCCTGTTTTCATGGAGCCTACTGTGTAATGAGAAAGAAGGACAGATAGAATGAGATCTCAGGTAGGATACATATTCTGAGAGCTTAATTGAATAGCTCTACTTATTTGTGAAAATTAGCTATAGCCTAGATTTAAGCACAGATGCATAACACTGATTATGTTTTACACTATTTGATTTTATAAAAGCAATGGTATGATTTAAACTTTGCAATGAGCCATATAAAGGCATTTCATACCACCTGTAATACAACTTCTAAACATTATAAATACCAAACAAAGAGTAAGCTTTAAAAACTCCCTAAGGGGTCATTTACATTTAATAATGATTTGACTAATTCATGCTCAAATGTTACAAAGACTTAACTATGAAAACAGCTCTGTCTGTTCAGGAGGAAGTAATCTGATTCTGGGCTCAATAAAACACAATGTACAATGAGTGTCCTGTGAAGCTAGCTGACTTAATAAACTCACAGCTAGCAAGATCAGTTTTTAAAAAAATGAGCAAGTTCAGAATTCTTTCACCATTCAAATTACCATTTGAAAATGCCAAAGAAATATAAAATGGGGGGAAAAAGTCTGAATCAGTATTAGAATCTAGATATAATCACCATACTGGAAACTTCAAAGACAGTGAAAATGCGAATGGGTACAGAAAAGCTAACCAAGTCACTGCATAAGAAGGAGAAAACCTATCTGAAGAGTAGGTGGAAGGGGTTCCCTGCTGGACCCCAGTAGATTCACAAGCTCAAAGGTGAGTGGGAGGCAAGAAAGAATCATGAAGCAGTAAGTAGGAAGCAAATGTCAACTCTACTTTAGAAGAATACTTGAAGGTAGCACAGAGAGCAGCAGACCAAGCTTAGACTGAGTAAGAAAAACCAATCAAGCAAACAGATAAAGAAGTCTCAGCTCTTACTGCGGGGTCTTAGAGGTAGAGAAAAAAGACAGGGCCCCAGCTCATTTGGAGCTGCAATAAACTAACATCCTTTGACTTTGTGCTAAAGCATCTTGTTACCTGCTTTTTCTGGCTATAGATCCTTCTCTCTACAGTAAATACATCAATACTTTGGCAAAACAAATTAATTGGTCATAAATCTAACTTTTCACCCTCTGAGTTGGAAAGATCTGAGAAGAGGTTTAATACAAACTGACAGAATCTTAGCAAATAGTAACACTTAAATAAGAGCAAAAAAAGAAAACCCTTCAGACATAAGAAGGACTTAGATCATACAAAGGATGAGTCTGACTAACCTGAACAAATGTCCCCTTTTAAAACATAAGAAACAGGAGGAAACATTAACAAAAAATCTAGGTCATAGCCATTATCTCATGACTAAGAAGGCACTTCTTTTTTTTTTTGAGACACACGTTCTGTCGCCCAAGCTGGAGTGCAGTGGCACGATCTCGGCTCACTGCAAGCTCCGCCTTCCAGGTTCAAGCCATTCTCCAGCCTCAGTCTCCTGAGTAGCTGGGACTACAGGCGCCCGCCAGCACACCCAGCTAATTTTTTGTGTTTTTTACTTGAGTCGGGGTTTCACTGTGTCAGCCAGAATGGTCTCGATCTCTTGACCTCGTGATCTGCCCGCCTCGGACTCCCAAAGTGCTGGGATTACAGGCGTGAACCACCACACCCGGCCAACTAAGAAGGCAGGCACTTCAAGTGGAAAAGATTAGGAAAGACTGTTCTTTTAAAAAATAATACTTCCAACTCAAAAAAATCCAGTAGAGAGATAGCAGACAAATAAGGTGCTATAGAACACAAAGCAGCTAGTTTTGTTGTTTTTTTAATAGGGTAAAGAAATAGTCTTGATGAACAGCTGTTATCTCAGGATTCTTTTACACTGTTCTCGGTTTGTTCTTTTCTGTGTTTACACTGCTATAGAGATACTACCTGAGACTAGGTAACTTATAAACAGAAGAGGTTTAATTGACTCACAGTTCCACATGGCTGGGGAAGCCTTAGGAAACTTACAGTCACGGTGGAAGGCAAAGGAGAGGCAGGTACCTTCTTCACAAGATAGCAGGAGAAAGAGGGAGAGCACACACAGGGGAGACTACCACTTTTAAACCATCAGATCTCGTGACAACTCCCTCACTATCATGAGAACAGCATGGGAGAACCCGCCCCCATGATCTAATCATAATCACCTTATACCAGGGCCCTGCCCCTTCACATGTGAGGACTACAATTTGAGATGAGATTTGGGTGGGGACACAGAGACAAACCATCAGTTCTAAAATTTCTATTAATCCCTTATCTTCCTTTATCTTAGTTACCACCCTTGTTTTGCTGAAATACATTTTAAAATAACTTTCTCAGGATGGTCAAGATATGATTGTTTAAAATCACTGCATATCTGAGAATCTCGTCATTTTGCTCTTATGTAAAATGGTAGCTTAGCTGAATATAGAACTCTAACTCGAAAATAATACTCTTAGCCAGCACTTCCTATCTCCTCTCATTTTACTTCTATCCTAGCTCTTAAGTCATAATCTTCTCTTTCTCTCTCTGTCGCTTGGTCTCTCTTTCTCATGCTCTGTCTCTGTCTCTCTCTCTCTTGCTCACACACACATTATTTATTTATTTATTTATTTTCTTGCTGTACTAGAATGTAAGTTCGATGAGAGGCAAGATTTTTCCCATGTTTTATTCAACATAACAATGCCTAAATAGTGCCTATCCCACAATATGCACCCAATAAATACTTGAACAAATAAATGAATGAATTAATTCCCCTAGAATTTTAGAGACTTCATTCCAGTATTGTCTAGCATCTATTGTTGCTAAAAATATAATGACAGTTGAATTTTGGTTCTTTTATAGAGGTATTGTTTTCATCTTCTCAGGAATTTTTTTTTTTTTTTTTTTTAAATAAAATCTCTGGGGTTCTGAAATTTTTCCATGATGTGCTACATGTGGGGTTTGAGTATTTTTTCTCTATTCAACTTTCCTGGCACTTAGTGAGCCCCTTCAATCCAAAGACTCCCCTCTTTTTAGAACTTCCACTAGTCACATCTTGACCTAGTCCCCCATGTCTTATCTTTTCCTTCCCTGTATTTTCTTTTTATCTTCCTGGTCTATGTTCTGGGAGAGACTACCTGGACTTTTACTTCCCAAGCTTATATTGAATTTTTTAAATTTCCTGCAGTAATATTTTTAGTTTCTAAGAGCCTAACTTGTTCTCTGATGTTTCTTTATTATAGTTTCCTGTTCTTACTTTATGGATGCAGTATTTTTCAAATTCTCTGAGAATACTTTTTAAAAAAATAATTAGATGCTTCTCTATTCCCTAGATTCTCCCTGTGGTCAGTTATTCTTTCCATCTTAGCCTTTTCTTTCCAAGCTTGTGATTAATGCCATGTGTGATGATCCTTGGTTATCTGTGTATACAGAAAAATGAATTCTAAATCAGGTGCAGTGGCTCACGCCTGTAATCCCAGCACTTTGGGAGGCCAAGATGGGTGGATCACGAGGTCAAGAGATCGAGACCATTCTGACCAACATGGTGAAACCCCATCTTTACTAAAAATACAAAAATTAGTTGGGCATGGTGGCATGCGCCTGTAGTTCCCGTTACTCGGGAGGCTGAGGCAGGAGAATCGCTTGAACCCTGGAGGCGGAGGTTGCAGTGAGCCAAGATCGCGCCATTGCACTCCAGCCTGGCAACAGAGTGAGACCCTGTCTTACACACACACACACACACACACACAATGAATTCTAGATTTCAGTTGTAATTTCTCTCTGCTGTTATGTATGTTTTATTGTGGAGTGTCTCCCCTTGGGATGAATGAGTGGGAACTATGTAAATGTGGATAGGGTTTGTTACCTAGCAAGTTTTGCTTTAGAATAACGGGTGCCAGCTATTAGATGTCTAGAATGAGAGAAATTTACCTTGAACTACTAATACCCACTCTAGGAACTGTTGTTACTCTCCAGGCAGTTTCCTTCAATATCTAAGAGATGAGTTTTCTGCCTGGAGGTAAACATAGGGTTGTAGTCACTCTGATTAAAGGTGTGTGTGTGCACAGAGAGAGCAAGCAGGAGCAAATGGTAACAGAAGTCTCTCTGGGGTTCCAGCTGTGCTGGGTACTTTTATCTGTCAATATTCATCCACTTTTCATTTTCCAGAAATGTTATAAAAAATTTTTTATCTGCTGGTGATAATACCTATCATCCTCTTATTGCTCTCTGTTGTAATGAACTTCATATCTTACTATCATTTTAATGCATTCTCAGGAAGAAGGGGAAACAGATTCATGTGTTTAGTCATCTTAATCCATATTTTGGGAGAGAAAACATTTACAAATCTCAACCTAAAACTGTGTTTCCTTTTACCCAGTCTCATAAAAATATTCCAGAAATTTTACTATCTTCAGCACTAACCTCCATCTTTCAGCCAACTTTTCATTTGGAAACAGCTCAGAAATCTCTTAGAATCTTATTAATACTGACATTCCTCTGGGATATACCTGGCTATATGTATCACCTTCTTTCATGTTAAGAATCCTCGTGTATCTTTCTAGCACACATTCCTTGCCATGAGAATGAAAAAGAATGCTTGACCCAGCTGGTGGTATTATATGCTACTGTCTATAACACACCGGAACTATAATATCTTTTATTAATTATGGCCTGACTAGACCCACTGAGTTTCCAAAGATGAAAGAACCTACTTTGATACTTAACCACATTAAGCCGTAGACTTTTACAAGGGTCCTTATCTCACAGGTGCTAGTTGAAGAAGGCCTCATAAACTTTGTTACTTTGGGAAGCACAGAATATATTTCAGAAAACCTAGGAGTACTACAGAGCAAAGAATTCAGACATCCTTCAACATTCAACAAATATTTACTAAATGCTTTTTGTATGTCAAGCACTACTCTAGGTATTATGGAATAAAAGACAAAAATCCCTGCCCTTGTGGAACTTTATATTCCATTGAGGAGATACATATAAAAAACAAAGTACATAAACAAAATATATAGTATCCTAAATGATCACTGCTATGGAAAAAAAGCAGAGAAGGAACATAGTGGTATAAGGAAAAAATTTTAGATGGAAGGAGGTGACAAAATGAATATACGGATATCTAAAGGAAAAGCCCTCTGGGCAGGGAGAACAGAAAGTGCAAACACTCTCAGAAAGGGACAGAGATGGTATTAGCAAGGAAGCCAGTGAGACTAGACTTAAGTCAGTAAAAAAATAAACAAATAAAAATAAAAATAAAAATAAAAAGACTTAATGGGGCCAATAATGCAGGGCCTTGCAGAACATTTTATGATTGTCATTTACTAGGGGTAAGGTGAATGCCATTGGAGAGTTTACTTTTTTGTTTTTTTATTTGTTTTGAAACAGGGTCTCAAATGTTGCCCAGATTGATCTCAAACTCCTAGGCTCAGGCAATCCTAATGTCTCAGCCACCCAAAGCATTGAGATTACAGGTGTAAGCCACAGCACCTGGCAAGAGAGTCTGGAACAGAGTGATGCAACACACTTAAACAGGGTCACATTCTGGCTGACATGTGTTGAGAACAGACTGAAGGAGAGCAGGGAACAAGCAAGGAGACTAGGTAAGAGGCTATACATTTTCACAGCTGAACTCTCTAATCCATCTCCTTTCCATTCTAGCACTTCCTATGGCTTCATCTAATGGCAATTCTTAACAATGAGAAGTTAGAAATAACATGATGATTGATATCATGTTCAGACTTCATGACTGTATTTTGATTAGGATAACAGTTGAGTACGCAACTTGTATAAGTTGCATTCATATAACACTGTTTTAAATTATCTTCATGTGAGAGTTAACATTGGAATTCACTCATTTGTAACATCCTCCAGGGAGGATATACTTTACAAAAATGAAAGCAGTAATAAAAACAGAGAGTAGGCCGGCATGGTAGCTCATGCCTGTAATCCCAGCACTTTGGGAGGCCGAGGAAGGCAGATCACCTGAGGTCAGGAGTTTGAGACCTGCCTGGTCAACATGGTGAAACCCCGTCTCTACTACAAATACAGAAATTAGCTGGCATGGTGGCAGGCGCCTGTAATCCCACCTACTTGGGAGGCTGAGGCAGGAGAATCACTTGAATCCAGGCGGTGGAGGTTGCAGTGGGCCAAGATCATGTCATTGCACTCCAGCCTGGGTGACAAAGTGAGACTCCATCACCATCTCAAAACAAAACAAAACAACAGAGTGGACTAGAACAGTAAGTAATTTCTACCTACGTGATTTCTGATTCAGGAGCTTCTCATGCCATCGGAAACAGTATAAAACCTTCCATATGTTATCTCCTTAATCATATCAGATAACTATTTTTAGGTTCAGAGGAATAAACCTTTATTTGAGGTCATACAGCTAATAAGTGGGCAATCAGAAATCTAAGACAGGACTTTTAATCTCAAGTCCAGTGCTTTTTCCACTATGCCACTACTCCTCAGGTCTATGATTCACCAAAGGACTAGGATTTTCAAAGATTAGGATGTGGCAGGTTTGAGAGAATGGGCATCTGATTCTTACAGAATTGTATTGCAAATAAGAAAATATGTGCCACTTAGAAGGTACTTTTTTTTAAAATAATACTTAGAAAGTGGGCAACTACTAGTACCTAGATTTACATTCATCAGAAAGTTACCGGTGGAAATCATGAGCTATTAATAAAGTCTCACTGGAAAAATGAATCATATGGCCCTTTTAACCCATACACACACACACACACACACACACACACACACTCTATTATACCCATTTACACATATACATATTCATAGTTCCCTACATTCCTTCCCCCAACCCCGACACACATGCTCACAATTCAAGAGACTGTATCTCCTATATTTAAAAAAGTTGGAGTATATGAAAGAGATTGAAGTAAAAAAAGAAAAACAGAAAACGGCTACAGAAAATGAAAGGATCAGAGCCAAGGTTTAAACATAGAATAAAGAAGTGGGAAGTGAGATGAATTCAGCAACAGTCAGTGAGTACCTACTCTTCATAAAGCATCCAATTAGAAACACACAGATGACATTTTAGGAATCCCCAGCATAAACAAACCCAGCTACCACACAAGAATCTGCTTAAACCACAACCACACTAAATTCTACTTAAAACCATGTATTTAGGGCCAGGTATGATGGCTCACGCCTGTAATCCCAGCACTTTGAGAGGCCAAGGCAGATGGATCACGAGGTCAGGAGATCCAGACCATCCTGGCTAACACAGCAAAACCTCGTCTCTACTAAAAACAAAACAGAACAAAACAAAATTAGCCGAGCATGGTGGCGGGCGCCTGTAGTCCCAGCTACTTGGGAGGCTGAGGCAGGAGAATGGCAAGAAGCCAGGGGGCCAAGCTTGCAGTGAACCGAGCCACTGCACTCCAGCCTGGGTGACAGAGCAAGACTCCATCTCAAAAAACAAAAACCAAACACATATTTAGTTCCAAGTCCTAATGTTTAAAGCTACTGCAATTACAGTATCTATTTGTTGGGAACTCTTGCCTCCTCATGCAAATTGTGACCTTAAAGGAATTTTATATCTTATCAGCTATACTAGGTACAAAAATAATATACCAGAATAATTTTTACATACATGAATATATTCAGAGATAAGAGATTTAAGGTCTGGTATTAAGGCAAATCTTTAGGGAAACAAGAGAACAACAAAAAAGATTAATAGTTCTCAACCACTATAGCTTTCTAGCCATACAATGGGCCTAACCAGGAACAGAAATCTTAAATACAGTCAGAGTTTTGTTGGTTTGATAAAAGACAAAAATACTGACAATAAAGGACTCTAGAATTTCACAAAACAATGAGTTATTTCAAAAACTGTTCATTATTTTCTAGTTGAAGAAGTTGATTTTCCCCCTAATTTCCTAGCACACATCACATTAATGCCATGTGTTATTATCCAATTAATTAAAATGTAGGGTCTTAAAGTCAGATGGAATGGCTATATGATTCAATTGAATAATGATTTACAAAGGGATACACAGCATGATTGAAAATTTCAGAATTACTCTTTAAAGGTTCTGAAAAATATTTCCTACCTGAGGGGCATTTGTAGCCACTAAAAATGCATTTGTCCTCCCTGGGTGGTCATAATCATGCATGGCAGCTGCCACGTATAGAGCCATCAATTCTAATGCAGGGATGTTTGAAGACAGGCAGCCATAACTCTCATCTGGAATAGAGCAGCTCTTCGAAGAAATATAAGCAATTCGCCCACGGTTAATTCTACTATCAGAATCTGAGAAAAAATAAATTGCAAAATAAACCAGCATTAGCACACAAATTCCTCACAATTTTGCTACGGAGGGGATTCTCATGGGTAATACGATTACTTATTTTATTTGCTGATTTAAGTAAGAACTAAAATCTATGAACTTAAAAGAGTATATTATTCCCAACTTAAAATGTTAGTAGAGAGAAACAGTGTTAAATCTGACCCTGAAGTTGCTTACTTTACAAGACATGATAGGATTCTCATACCAGTTTGATGCTGTCTTACTCAGGCAAATAATAATTTTAAAAACCTCTGATTTTCTAAATATTTGCTATTTAATGACTAGATAGATATAATGGCCAGGGTATATAACAGAAAAAGGCAATACTAGAGAATAAAATTTGATGAAAACATTACAAAGATTTAGGAATTTAATATCTTACCAAACTAAGCTTCTCTACATAGATGCTTTTCAAATCTCATCCAGGAAGATTACATTTCATTTGTAGCCCTAACTACAACTCCTTATCTCCCTTTTGTTTTCTTTCATGAAGCTCCATATAATATAATGGAATAAAAAATGATGGAAAATGAAAAGGCATGGAAAACTGGGGAACATCTCAGTCAACATAAGTCTATTTTTATCCTCTTAGAAACAACACGTTCACTATCCATACTGTGCTTTTGGTGTCTTAATATCTTGCCATTGATTTCTTCTTTTTTCTATTTTGGTGGCTTTATCTATCTAGATGATCATTCTATTATTTTTGCAAAAGAAATCTGTAAAAAGTATAACGAAAAAGAAACTATATTTAAAGTAGACACATAAAACCACAGATACTAGGTACAAAGTTTCCTTGGTTGTATTCATTGGGGGAACCTAGAAATAATGCTCTAGCTTGTTAAAGTCCAAAAGAATTATTTAATCCTATTTTAGTTGACTCAATATAACCATCACAAGAATTTTTTAACATGACTTTAATATACTAGTGACAACTGTAAATATACCTCATTATTTTCATCCTATTTATAATTTGTACCAAAATTAAGTTTTGGAACAGCCCACGCTAGAGCATTTTTTTTTTTAATTTATGTTTTTAGAGATAGGGTCTTGCTATGATGCCCAGGTTGGAGTGCAGCAGCTAGCTATTCATAGGTCCAATCGTGATAGTACACTATACCCTCAAATTCTTCACCTCAATTGACCTGCCCTCAGCCACCTGAGTAGCTTAGACTGGAGTTAGGTACCACCACACCGGCTTAGAGGTATTTTTTAAATAATTATAAAAAGTAAACATGAGGCAGTTAAATCTATGCATAATGATATATGTAAGTGATCAAATTTCTAATAAGACTTTAAATATCAATACAGAGTCAATAATTTGAATTTTCCTATGTGATACACATTCCGGATTTTCCCTACAATTTTAAAATATATTTTAAAGCTCAAAAATGGCAAAAGATTTCCTTTTAAATTCAGTAATTACTTGGAATTTATATATTAGGATCTTAAAACATTAGCTTATATATGTTTCAAAAAAAACAGTATGAAAAACAACACAGTTGGCAAGGGCAATGAAACATAACTATTTTGAATCCCATTTATTCACTTCATTTCAGAAAACTGTGATTTTAAAAATTTGCTGACACATTTAAAAGGAGGCCTCAGTAAAAGACATCCAGATTAGAAATGAAGATGCAAAACTATCTTTATTCACAGATGGCCTAATCTCATATATTTAGGAAATCCCAAGAAATCTACTGAAAAACTATTAGAACTAATAAATTAGTTCATCAAGTTAGCAGGGAACAAGATAAACATGCAAAGACCAATTGCATTTCTACATACTTAGCAACAAACAAAAAAATGACATTTTTCAGAGAAACAGAAAAAACAATCCTAAAATTCATATGGCACCACAAAAAGATTCCAAGTAGCCAAAGCAATCTTGAGCAAAAAGAACAAAGAGGAGGCATCAGACTACCTGATTTCAAAATCTATTACAAAGCAATAGTAATCAAAATAGCATGGGCCAGGCATGGTGGCTCATGCCTATAATCCCACCACTTTGGGAGGCCAAAGCAGGTGGATCACTTGAGCTCAGGAGTTCGAGAACAGCCTGAGAAACATGGTGAAACCCCATCTCTATAAAAAAAAATACAAAAAAAAAAAAAAAAAGTTAGCAGCCATGATGGCATGCACCTGTACTCCCAGTTACTCAGGAGGCTGAGGTGGGAGGATGGCTTGAGCCCAGGAAGCAGAGGTTTCAGTGAGCTGAGATCATGCCACTGCACTCCAGCCTGGGTGACAGGGCCAGACCCTGTCTCAAAAACAAACAAACAAACAAACAAAAAACAGCATGGTACCAGCACAAAAACAGGTATTTCAACCAATGGAAGAGAATATCACATAATGGCATCAGTTCAAAGAACAATTCACATCTTGTGGGACAGTACTCTAGTTCCACAAAATATTTACGCCTAGCAGGAACCCCATCTGAGTCTTAAAGATGTCATTCTACCATTCTCTCAGGTCTGATGTAGACTGATAAGGTTCATGGAAAGATTAGTAAACTCTGTGGGCATAAGCCCATTGCCACAATTTGCAGAAAAATTAGTTTCTTGATCAGATGAAATACTACCTATAATAACCTGATGGTAAATAAGGCATTAAGTAAGTTCAAGGATGGCGATGGTGAAGCACTACAGACAATGAAGATAAATCCACATCCACAATAAGTGAGAACAAAAGCTGTCTCTTCCATAAAGGAAAGGGTCCAATGCAATCAACCTACCACCACCCAAATGTCTGGATGTTCCCTCAGGGAATGGTGCCTTATTAAGGACTCACCATTGGTCTCTCTTACTGGAGAGCAAGGCACTCAGCAGAGGCCTGAGCCAGGTGAGCTGTAGAGAAGAAGCCCATGGTATTTAGCCCATACATAATATCTCTATTCTTTCCATCTTAGGGATATGTTTTGGCTGTGTTCCCACCCAAAATCTCATCTTGAATTGTAACCCTATAATCCCCACATGTCAAGGGTGGGACTAAGGGTAGAGGTAACCAGATCATGGGGGCAGTTTTCTCCAGGCTGTTCTCATAATAGTGAGTCTCACAAGACCTGACGGTTTTATAAGCATCCGGCATTTCCCCTGCTTGCATTTCTCCTTTCTGCCATCCTGTGAAGAAAGTGCTTTTCTTCCCCTTCACCTTTTAGCCATGATTGTTAAGTTTCCTGAGGCCTCTCCAGTCATGCCTCCTGTACAGCCTGCAGAATTGTGACTCAATTAAGCCTCTTTCCTTCATAAATTACTCAGTCTCAGGTATTTCCTTATAGCAATGTCAGAACGGACTAACACACTTAGCTGTTGCGTGCATAAACCCACGGAATAAGAACTCCAGTACATAGGGAAAGAGACTGATAGCTATAAGATAAGAGATCATTTTGTCCACCTGCTCATCGAGAGCCTTCTTTGCAGTGAATGGCCTTTGGTAAGTATTATATATTAGTGAGGGTTATTCAGAGAAACATAAACAATAGGATGTGTGTGTGTGTATATACACACACATATATGCACATATATACATATATACATACATATGTGTGTGTGTGTGTGTATATATACACACACACATATATATATAGAGAGAGGAGATTTATTTTAAGGAACTTGCTCATGAAATTAAGAAGGCTGGCAAGTCCAAAATCTGCAGGGTGGGCTGGTTGGCTAAAGACCCAAGGAAGAGCTGATATTGCAGTTCAAGTCTGAAGGTTGTTTACTGGTGGAATTCCTGCTTGCTCAGAGGAGGTCAGTCTTTGTTTCTATTAAGGCCTTCAAATGATTGGATGAACCCCAGCGACCTATGGAGGGTTATCTGCTTTACTTAAAGAACATCAACTTAAATGTTAATCTCATCCAAAAATATACCCTGAGGGAAATATTAAAATTAATGTCTGACCAAATATGTAGGTACTACTGCCCAGCCAAGTTGACATGTAAAATTAAGCATCATAGTAGGCATTCACCTGGCAAACAAATATTCACCACTCTGGGAAGGTTAGCCATAAACCTCCTAACAAAAACTCCTTGTCCAATTAAAAACTCTAATTTTAAAATATTTTTCCTTCTAAATCTCAAAGCATCCAAGGAAGTTCTTAGCTATTGACCATAAATCAATATAGATCCTTTCAGCTGGCCATGTCTCTTTCTTGACCAACTGATTCACAGCTTGATCTGCTTACTGGAAGGATTTACTTTATTACCTTTCAAAAGATACCCTTGAGTGATCCTGCAATGCTGTAGCTACCCATTTTCAGGAAGTACTGGCATATTGGGCAGAACTATCTATAAACCAGGGCCACTGATTTTTCTCTTTAAGTCAACTGGTCATAGAGAATTCCCCAAGAAGCTGTAACTATGGATTAAGGAAGAGGTATTGGTGTATTAGGAATAAACGTCATGGAAGTCTGAGCTTATGTTCTGTGTTTTTAGGAGCAACTCAAAACTAATATTGTAAGTAATTCTTCTCCTTGATGATCGAGAACTACTGCACATGACAAATTTATGAACTGGAGGATCAAAGGGCCCCAAGTTCATTATGGGCAGGTAACATGGTAACCTAGCGCCCATGGCCAAGTATTCAGATTCTACCAAAGTGCAACAACAATTTAGCCGCTTTTACAGAAAGGAAAATAATTATCTGAGGAAAGCTGCCTGGTTTTGTCTCAAAACTCCAAGTATTTACACTGTAATTATCTTGTAGCGGTCTTCCAGAGACTCCACAGGGCATTCAATCTGCAAAAGACATTTTCTTTTGGCAGTCAGATGGAAAAATGGCAGAGTAATTTGCACAAGTAGAAATTGCTTCACATGTTTCTCTTGCTCTGGGTTGCATACACAGCCTTACAGTACTATTTTGAAGCAATAGTACTCAGAAGTCATGAATTTGCCTTCAGAATCCAAAGAGCCCTTTATGTAGAGAATTTCAAATGTATCAGTTATCCCTCAACTCAGAGGAAATA